GCGTTATGTGACACTGCACACACAGCAGGAGGCATGAGGAAAGAGGGTCCAAGAGACATCAGATGGAAGGGATCTTGGGAGGTGAGTAAACCTCCCATTCAAAGCAGGATCACAAATCACTGAACCATCCACTCCTCAGGACTCTCAGTGTATGATTACTGTCCTTTTGTATATGGCTGTTAACAGCTTAAGTGCTTGGGAGCATCTGGATGGCAAACAGCTGGAGAGGACAATCAAAACTATGATCTCCAGACCCTATCTTCTGCTTCGGACAAGTGAGCAAGCAGCATGAGTGAACTGTCCCTTATTACTAAAGAGGAAATCAGTGCCCTCTCTCAGTTCCTAATCTTCAATGAAAAGGGGATCCTGGTCAAGAGAAAATGAATTAACAGTTCTCAGGAGAAGGTGAAAGGGCACTTCCCAAGCTGAAGCCCTGCTGATGGCACCCTTTGGAGCGTGCAAGAGTCCTTTCTTTTGGACTCAGGAAAGGATCCAAGCAACTCATTTGAAAGCGCCTCAGGGTAGAACTTGTCACTAAGGTTTGTCCTGTTACAATAATAAATGATGTGATGCATAAAACTGCTGGATTTAAGAACATTTCATTCATAAAACAGAAATATCAACCGTTTTGCTACAAAATCTACTTCACAGATGGTTTAAAAAAAGAAAAACAACCCTCAAATCTCTCCTTGTAACAGATTGGAGCCAAGCAACAGGAAATCTGTGGCAGAAGACACATTCTGTTATCCAAAGATAGCTCTGTACATTGAAATGAAAGCTGACCATTTCCAGGTCATTAATCTGATGGGGCATACAAGGTAAACAGAACCTATGCACTAGCACATGCATGCAGGTGGACGAGAGCAATGGCAGAAAGTAAAGAACGAGACAAATGGCACTCTCCTTTCTGTTCCAAGTTTCCAGAAAAACTTTCGTGATCTCTTTTATATTTATAAAACTTTTATAATTCTTCACTCCCTCCTGCTCATCCTCCAGATACGCAGAGCCTGGTGCTGGCTGTATTTGTGTTGCTAGCTGGAAGAACAGCAGAACGTGCCAAGCATTTAATAACAAAATTCCAGCCTTGTGACACAACCCAGTAATCCCAATATTGGAAACTAACCTCATCTTTCTACTCAACATAAACCTCTAACCCTAACAAGCGCATCACTACTTTTATTTTGCCTGAACCTTTTCTAAAGGCATCTCTCTCACATATTAAAAAAGATTACTGTAAGATCAGACCAAGCAAGAATTTATTAAACTTATATATGTCAATTTACATGGGGCAGAGTGATGGAAGACTCCTGCAGCTAGAACAAGTAGCTTCTTAAATACAATAATTTTCTTTTCACGTACTCTTTCCTAAAAAGATCATTAACTTGATATACACATATGTACATAAGCAATAATACAATTCTCTCTGGTAATCACCGGTAGCACTTTCTGGAGGTGCTACAAGCCCCACATTTTGATCTCTGAAAAAATGAAGTTTTAAAAAAAGGTGACTTTTATTAAGTTTAGCAATAAAGCATCTCTCTTTTCCCGTCTGAATCTTTTCCATCATTCTCACACCTCAGTGTATGCTTGCAGAAATATCAGATATCACTGATTGGTAGAGTTAGGACAATACAACTGCCAAAACTAGTTATGCTCATCTGTGTCCCATCATTGAGGGCGTGGGGAGATGTCCTCTTCCAGCTGGAGCAGCTGAGGACATTTCTATTCTTAGCTTAAAAACACAACTCTCTAAATCAGGGTTCAAATCAGCTTTACTAAGAGTTGAAGGCATGCTGCCCAACCTGCTTGGCTGAACAGGAAGCACTCTTCTGCTGCTGTGGAGCTCATGCTGCAGTCCATCCCACCTCACAGCTGGGTTTCTTGCATGCATATAATGCAGTGCTCTTACACAGACAGAAGAGGTTTAGTGACATCCAAGCTTTTGGCCTTGCAAAAACACATACGTCTATGCCACTCGATCGTGCCCATACCTGAAGCCACCAGGAAAGAAGGCAGCTGGGAACATATTAATGTAATGAGAGCAATTCCCACAGCCTACTCTCAGCAGCTGTCTTTGCTGCGGGCTCCTCAGATCTTAGGCAAGAATCAGTTGTATCTGAATGAGTTGTTGGAGTGGAAATTGCCAGCCCCCCACCTCCTTGAGACCCCTCTCAGGCCATTTGTGGGATGAGCAAACAAATGGAGGGAGTTGCAGGGCCCTAAGACAACAGTGGCTGGGAGCAAGCATGCATACAACAAGCTTCATCTAATATCAGGACCCCAAAACAGCAAGGTGGGAGGCTCACCAAGCCAAGACTTCAGGTCCAGGATACATATTACAGACTTGTGTAAGGACTTATCAAGTCCTCTGGGAAAGGGAGGAAATAAACTCTCCCACCCACCAGCCACTGTCCCAACCACTGTTTGCCTTCATCATTTCCATCATCAGATCCCAGGCAGTTTCTCATTCCTGCAGCTGTCCTGGCTTTAACGCCCCTCAGACTTGTAGTGCAGAAAGTGCCAAACACTTGGAATTCCTGTTTTAAAGTGGATTTTACTGGTCCTGCCTAGCACTGAGTGAGCTATAGATGCAAGAATAAGCTTGACAAAGCTCCCACACCATGAGCCTATGCCATATCCCAGCACAGACAGTCAAAAAAAAAAAAAAAAAAAAAAGCACTCATCTGTCTTGACTCACAGGTAACAAAACAGCAGAAAAATTTTCCTACTGCACACAGTCCTGTACAGCTACAATATGGGACACAGAAAATTGAAAATTCAAGTGTTGGAAGAAGATGTAAATAATACTATGTTGACTAGCAGAAATACTCTGTGCATAAATTATGTATCACAGAACTGTTATACCCCTTTTAAATAAATAACCGGTTAACTATTCTGAGTAGTGGACTGCTACCACACTTAAGTGTTTAACCATGAATCAGGATCCAGCGCGTATTGCACAAACACAGAAGTCCGTGCCCTGGTCTCAAAGAACGCATGAGTTTGTCAAGAGGCTAGCTATTCTTACGGAAACCTGAACGCATCCTTCAGTCCCACTAAACATCTGGCTGTAACACTGCTGTGGTAGGGAGCTATACAGAGCAATAAGAACATATATTTTTTAAATTGTTGCCTGTCAGTTTCACTGAATGTTCTTTCAGTCACCTTGATCATCTTAAAAAAAAAAAAAATAATAATAATTGGATTAGCCCATTTCTTGTTTTATACATGTCAAACCAGCACAGGGAGAAGTGGATAGTAGGAAGAAATTAGCAAGGCAGATTTGCCAGGCTGGCAATAATAAAAGACCCATAGAAGCTCCTTTGCCTGGGCCTATCTCCTTTCTTTCCAATTTCCTTCCAGCCTACCCCCACCCTTCCCATCTGCTCCTACCTGCCCCATGCTCCTGGGCAGAGGGAAGCCCAGTGATCAAGTCTAGGATGCCAGTGAGCACACATAGCGGAAAGACTGCCAGATCTAAAGTACTGTTTGCCCTATGGGCCAGTACAACTTCTGATGCTTCCAACATCTGCAGTGCACTGTCAAGCATTAACCAACCCAAATGCTTGTGGCTTCCTGCAGAACTTCATGGCTCTTCTCTGAGTGTCTTCAATGTTTGCTTTATCACCATTTGAAAGAGGCTAGCAGGATTCAAAAGATGATACAAAACAGGCTATGACACTTTCCCCTACTCCTTAGCCATGCCAGATTTTGTTGTCTTTTCCTCATTTTCTGAGCACCACTACTAGTGAAGTGCTGAAGCACCAGTTAAGTCCACATACCTTGGTCACATATTAAGGTCACGTACTTTGCACCCTACAGAAGCAGGGCCTCAAAAAGTCAGATACGTGTTCACACCATAACGAAACATTTGTCAGGTTTTACTGCCATGATGCAATGAGACAGGCAGGTACACCTGAACGCCTTTAACCACAGCTCTGTGCCTCCATACTACTATACACATTACAAGTGCTTTCAGTATGTTTACAACACACACAACTAGATTCTGCTTCTTTAAAGCTTACTGTGCTTCGTAACGTACAAATTCTCTCTCCAAATGGTCATTGTGCTCCTTAATCCCTCCCTTGCCTATGTAATCAGCAATAGAAACATTGCACAATAGAAGCGAGTGACAGCCCGGCAAGAACAATGAAACTCCTAACTGGAATCCTTGCAGAGTAGCTCGAAGCATGTGTTGGCTTTTAAGGATTTTAGGACTAAGGCTTCAGAAGAACCTATTCAACCTGAAGGCCTACTATTCCTGCCTTGTCTACCCATGGACAGATAATTTGACAACTTAAGGTTTTAACTATAGCAGTCAATATTAACCTTTCAGTAAGAGCAGCTAACAATTAGTCCCATTCAAAACTCAAATACAATCTGCTAGTTATCTAATAAAACTAAAACACCAGTTTACTTCAGAAACCACACAGAAAGGGATACTGTTCCTCTACAGACACACTCTCACCTCCAGATACCGTTTCTCAGTTTCGTTTCTGATGTTAGACCCTTGTTTTTTCATGCAGGTTCACCCCATCTTGCCCTTGCACTACGATGTTTTCTGCCTAGCTCGCCTTCCATTCCTAATTGTGATAGGCATATTTTGCAAAGCCCGTGATGGACTGGTTTAAAAACCAATGTGCAATCACATATGTTTAAGCCAAGCGCATATGCATGCTGAAAAATGCACTGTTTTCCATCTTATTTGCAATTTTACATCTCATTTTATCCTAGGAAAGAACTTTTTCAGACAGTTTTGGCTAAAGCATGCAAGGAGTTTCAAAGACCTTGCAATCACCTTCAACTCCATCGGCCTCTTTTTTCTTGAAAGCACCTGGCCATTTTTCTTCAAAGGTTATACAGAAGCATCACTTACAAAACAATAAATTTAGGTTAAATCTTGACTAGGTCATCTTTTGCAACACAAGGGAATACAGTGTTTGTTAGGAACAGTCTTATGGATACATAACAGGCCAATGTTGAACAACTACTACACTTACTCTACGAAATGATACCACGTAGAATGTATCTTCCCTTCTGCGAATAGCTTCAAAAAAGTCTTGGTAGCTCCTTGGAGAAGCATAATACACTTGCAGCTCATTTCCTGAGTTCCTGCTG